TCCTGACAGGCAGCGTGATCGCGCCGTCTGCGGAGGGCCTCGAGGCCTCGTTTCCAGCTCCCGTCCCCCTTTCCTTGCTTCTTGCACTCAAGGGAAAGATTCTTGGCTCCTCTAAGAGTCGCCTGGGAACCCGAGCCCCAGAGCACCCCCTTGGAGCGGGTGCTCACGTGGGTAGCACACACCCACGGTCCCGCACCCCCACACCGCGGAGGCGTCCTGCTGCTAAAACGGGAAGACAGACAGCAAGAACCCGCCGTGGGCACCGGGCCCTGAGTCCCCATGCTTTCCCGTCACCATGGCAATGCGTACAGCCTGCGTGGGGCTGAGCGGGCGGCATCCGCAGAGGGAAAACGCCACGTGGGAACGTGGTGCAGAGGGCTCCCGCCTGCCACACAGGGAGGGACTCTGTTGCCCACCCCTGTCCCCCCTGCACTGTCCCCCAGGGACTGGCACTTTGTGGGAGCATGGATGGTAATTATAGCAGCCGCGCAGCTGGGCCGGCGCCCCTAGGAACGGTTCCCAGGTACCGAGGGCTTGCTCCGACCCATACAGGCCGACTGCGGTGAGAAACAGGTGAAGACCCGTGTAGACCCCAACTTCCAGAGCTCATGGGCCTGCACGCTCCCCGTGGAGTTTGGCGGACACAGTGTTACAGTACGGAGTAAGTTTAAGGAAAGCCGGGGAAGATTCCAGTTCTCCTCCCTTGTGGTGATTACTGCTTCCCTGCACCCATGCCGTGACCGGGGAGAGATGTCACTGTTGAGTGTGTGCAAGGCTGTGTCCTGGAGACATGTGTGTTCATGTGCGTGTGTTGGGGGAGGTGCTAGCAGCTTCTGGACACGAAATGGCATTTGATCATCGAATTCTACTTCCCTTCTCTCCCCTTTATCCCACCCTCCTCCCCCCACGCTCTGATGGAAGCAGGACCCCTCAGGGGACTACATCTGGGTGCCTGTCTGCACCCCTCCCAAGTTTAGAATTCCAGGTTGGGTCTTGGCTGGACCTGAATCCCTTGGACGGCACAGAAATGGTGGCTGGTGACTCTCTTTGGCTGTGGCCTTCATATCTCCCCCAGAAGGACGTTTCGCTGCAAACCTACGTAAAAACATCCCAAGCGGGCTCTTCCAGTCTCTGCCGCGTCACATCTGCTCGGGGACCGCCGTTCGGCTGCGGCGAGGACTGAGGCTGCACGTGCCAGAGCCGGCGCTCTAAAAACGGTAACGCTGCTTCTCTTTCTTGAGATACGTAAAATCAGGCATAGACGTCCTCTGCGGGTATGTATTGTAATGATTCTGACATCTCGGCCCAGGAGCTAAATAAGCGCTGCTTTCCAGTTCCCCGGGGACGCACCAGAGAAACGGCCTCTCCCCCTCCGCCCCCCCCCATCTGGATTTCAGGGCTGTTTTCTGAGGTTCCAGAGGGTGAGCCTGCAGAGACCCAGAGGAGGAGGTGAGTGAGAAGGGGCTGGGCGTCTGCAGAGAACGTGTTGTTCGATTCGTTTTCTAGGAGGAAGTAAAACCCTTTCTCTCTGGTGGGCTTGAATCTGGAAAAAAAATCCAGTGTATATGTGTAGAGATGTATCTAAATCTATGTGCTTGCCTGCCTGTCTACCCACCCCCCACCCATCCACCCACCCCCAACCCATCCACCCACCCATCTACCCACCCACCCATCCACCCCCCCCACCTGTCCACCCCCCCACCATACCTTCCTTCCTTCCAGCCAGCTCTTCTTTCTTGGCACCCAGGTGATTTGGGTTGGTGGGTCCACTTGTCCACTTTCCAACCCCCCGACCATTTCCCGGACCACATCATGAGCACAGGGCGTAGCCATCGCATTAAAGACACGCTGGTCAAACAAACACCCGAGTAGGGGTCGATGTTGCAATGTGTTTGTAAAGCGGTACGCACCCTTTCAGTGTAACTCCCGTGGGCCTGTGTTCGAATCCTGGCCTTGCGGATTGCCCAACCGATCTGAACCTTGGCCACCTTCAAATGAGCCCCCTGACGGCCCCTGACTCGCAGGGGGAGGGGGAGGGTGAAAGAGACGCTATAGCGTGATGCCCTGGTGCCCGGGAAGCACTCCGTCAGCGCTAGAGGTGGTGGTGGTGGTGGTGGTGGTGGTAATTATTATTCTTCTCATTCCCAGAACTGGTGGTGTCTGGAGTTTTGGGGTTCACAGTACTAGTTTCCTGCCCCCAACTGATGGGTCTCTCTCGGGGGGTGGATTCGAAAATATGCACTAAGAAGTCTGTAGTTCCTCGCAGTGACTAGAAATGACATTTAAACTTCCTACTCCTGGAATTGTACGCCCAAGCCTGGTCGCTGAGCCACAGGCCCACGTGTAAAGGAGGCCCGCGAGGCAGGCAAGGACAGTCCAGGCAGACCGGAGCCACCGGGGCACGACAGACCGCAGAGCTGCCATCTGGCCTCCTCCCCCTGCCCACCACCCGCTGCCCAGCTCTATGACCCTGAGCACAGGAGCGAATGCCAGAACTGAAAGCCAGTTCCCAGGCAGCAAGTGGCCTCACGGGCTCTCTAGCAAACTGTCTCATCAACCGGCCTCTATAACTTCTAATACGACAGCTCACACCCAGATTAAGTTTAGAAACAAAACTGTTGTTTTCAAGACAAACCCACTGCCCACGGCCACCCCAGGGGCAGCGAGGTGGACGGGGGAAGGCTGCGGGGTTTGGGAGGCGGGGACCGGAGTTCGGGCTTCGCCGAGAGCCAGAGGCGCACCTCCCCAGGCCCCCGGCTGCTCTGCGGGCCTGCGTTTTGTTCCGTGTTCTGTTCGGCTTGGCAGGTCCTCAGATAACGTGGTCTCACTCAGTGTCGCTTCATTATGTTGACGAGATGCGGTGGGGATTTAGCTCTCATTTAGGTCAATTAGCGTGTGGTTAAATTGGTTTCCTTATGTCGCGTCTCCCTGGAAGCCACAGAACCTACCGACGATGTCAAGCGAGGACTCGCTGCACCTTAGGGGGTGCTCGCCGCGCTAATGTGAGCGGGCGCCTGAGACAGCGTGGTCAGCGACGACGAGTGTCCTTCCTCTCCCAGAACCAGGCACCCTGCCACTGCAGAGCCGGGAGAGTGGAGACCCCCCTGACCCGGGAGGCCGTCCCACACCCCCGCAGCAGGCCGCATCCTCCACACAGGGGCGGCCCCACTGCCCCTCGCACACAGGCGCTAGCTCCGCCCCGTTCATTCCAATACGGAGCCTCGGGTCCCTTCCGAACAGCCTAAAACCTTGGACGTGGTTTTCCGGATTTCAGGGGCCACCGGCTCCCTTCCCGAGTAACTTATTTCCAAACGAGTTTCCAATGCCCTCGTGTCTTTAGTAGTTGGAGGGGATCATCTGGGGTCTGCTTCTTCCTTCTCTCTTTTGGTGTCGAGGGGAGCGTGTAGAAGTTGAAAATAACCTCTTTAAAACGGTGACATTTGCCTGATGGCACTGACATTTTTATGGGAGCAAAACCCTGCTAACCGAAATAGAACACCAGGGAAAAGGACCAAGGCGGCTCAGGCGCAGCTTTTGGCATCGGTGCTCACTGATCCCCACCCCCCGCACCCCCACCCCCCCCCCATGCACCCACAGGCAGCTCCCCCGGACACGCCACCAGATCGTCTGCACAGAAGGCACGGGTGGCTCGCACACACCAAATCTGGGTGCTGCTGTTCGCGTCCCAGCTTCCTTGAGACCAGCCGCGTTCTTCCGATTCTGGTCGCCCCCCTGAATCACACACAGTGAGACCCCTTTTTCCCTGCCAGCCGACAGTGTGACCCCCGACTGGACCAGGAAAACATTCAAATTTAAAACATCACGACAAGCCTCAGGCGTGGCCAAAACAAGATGCTGGCTAGCGAGAGTCTGATCTGGTGCTGCTGGGTGAAGGTTCCTTGCGGGGCACAGGGTTCGTTTCCTGCATCCTTCGAGTTTCCTCGGAGCCTGCGGTCTCCCTGCTCAGATCACAGGGTGGGGGGCATTTGCAAAGGGAAATTTCTGGAGGGAAATGATGTGAATTACCAGAAAGACAGAGGGGGTGTCATGGAAGGGCACAAAGCACACGCCGCCGCCCTGCCGGGTGGCTCGGGTGGCTCGGGTGGCTCAGGTGGCGAGGGCGCTGTGCCGACATGCCAAGGTTGTGGGTTCGCTCTCCGGTCAGGGCACCGATGCACGCGTCAGTACGGGGGAACAACGAGTTGATGTTTCTCTTTCAACCCTCAGGAACCCCTCTAGTCAGAAGGGCTGGGTACTGGGGAAGACGATTTGGAAGCAGAAGACTTCTAAGTCCGTTCGTCTCAGAGCAACTGTTGTTCTTTCTAGTCTTGAGAATACCACATTCAAGGTAAAAAAGAGCAGAAACTCAATGTGACAAAAAATGGGATATTCTCCACGTGGTATTTTCTATTATAATGGATCCTTCAGGTAAAAGTTTGCAAATGCAGTCCTAACGCATCACAGCATTCAGCAGACCGCAATTAACGAACCAAAGATAAGACTTTCCATTCACAGGCTACAGCGATGAAAATCCCCAAGGCCACGCCCTATGACGTCAGGGCCTAAGGCGGGACTGAAAGTCCAAGGAGACTCCTTGACCCAGAGCCTCTGGCCGAGTGGCCAGAAATGCAGCCTCTTCGCCACAAAGTCCCTCCAGTGAACCTCCAGATAGCGACCTCCCCTATTCAATACACACCTGTGCCTTCACTTTTTTCACTGGCCAGTCGGATCGGGGGGCTTAGGCCTGGAAGACGTACTCCAGACCACAGGAAAGGGGCCTGCGCAGGGCCGGTCGGTCCGCGCCGCCGCCGCCGCCCAGGGGCGCACGCGAGCCACGTGCATGCGCACTCACCGCCAGGACTCACAGGACGGGACCTCTCACCGCTCTGTTCTGTCTCGGCCCAGGAATATATGTTCTTGATATTTTTAAAAGGTTACTTTCCCAACTATAGGAGCAGAACCTACTTATGTTGAAAATAAGTAACTATATTAAAAGAACGCTGAGTTAAAAGTTTTATTCATTCAACATCTCACATTACAAATATTTAAAAATTATATGCATACTGGTATAAATAGTCATTTGCAAACTATTTAATAACATTAATTTTTCCACTAGCACTTCAACAAATGAACTCTTTTAAAAAAGGAACTGTGTTATATAACTTAAGAGTAGAACATACAAAAATAAGAACTTAACGTGAAAATGACTTTAATAAAAAATGAATTACCCTTATTTAAAATGCTATAATAAATACTACAACCTCCCCATACACAGTAAAAACTATATGGAAATTCAGCCAAGTAGTACAATTAACTGACATACTTAAATAACTTTTCCTTCTGAAAAGATGAGCAATACACTGGGGAAAAAAACATTAGGGATTAGTAAAAACTAGACACCCACTTGCTAAAAGTTTCACTTCCAAAAAATATAACAAAAATCTGATGCAAATTATAAAAACTAATTATACTTTAAATTTTAAAAATATAAAAAATAAAACAGTTGAATACAATATTGTCCCGATTCTTACAATGCTATCAATCACAGTAGCTTTAAAATAAGATAATAAAATAAAGCAAATGACCAAAACCTCTTTTATTCCATTTTTAAAAATAATCTCAAATTTACATTAGTAGAAAGATTGATTTCTGATTCTTTTCTTTAGAAACACCAGCAAGAAAGAGGATTACTCTTAACAGTAGAAAATGACATTTTTAAATGTCTGCAATTAAAAACAAAGAATTACACTGCAAAGATCTTCCAAAGGTTTGAAATAAGTATTGCACATAATGTGAAGTTAACTTGCCACAATTCATCACATTCAAGTTTCAAATCACCTTTTAACAGAAGATTCAACTCTTCAAAACAAAAGGGGCGAATTATCAAGTCTTTCCAACAGCACTCTCAAAAAATGCTAATTCACTCACTGCAAGTTTTATTTTGCATTCTGCAGAGGTCTGTGTATGGAGAAGTAGATAGATTATACCAAAGCGTGGGGACCAGAGGGGGCGGGGGGGCTCCTTTACATAGAAAATAATCAGAAACACTTTATTTTACATTGCAAAAATAACCATGTAATTACTCTGTAACTACATTGTAAGTACATGGCTGGTGCCATGCTAAGTGCGCTACAACTACATGCTTGGTAAATTGAAGTGATACCCTAAAATCTGTAAACTAATTACATGTTAATTATGTTTTGAGTTACATGGTAACTCCCAACTACAATCCCATGTAATCTGAAGGACATGTAATCAATAAAGTTCAGAGTAATAGATAATAATTGTTTATGCCCTGTAAATTGAAGTGTAACCAAATAATCTGTAAACACACTTGTCACACAATCACAAGGAAGTGTTAGTAGAATAGCGGTTTCTTACATTAGTCATGCACACTAACATTACGTGCCCGCCCCACGGCAGGCTGTTTTATTCTTTCCTTATATATAATTTAAAAGGGCAGACATCTCTGAATCAAACACTTAACATCAATTTATTAATATTAAAAATGGCTACACATTCACCAAAAATGTCTGCGTTATGAATAATTTTAAAAACTCAGTAAGAAGCTGTAGACAATTTTTGTTATTTTAAATTTCTAACATATGCTTAGGCATTTAATTTTTTTTTTGAGGAACTACAGTGTTATCTGTCATTTTCATGCGAATTTGTTTCGTTAATTTGTGACGTCACATAGACTACTCCTTAAATCCTAGGCGCACCGGCGGCCGGTGCGGGGGAAGGACGTTAGAGCGACATGCTTTCTCTCCTCTGCAGACGCTACGACGGCATCGCCAGTGCACGACATTCATAGTTTACAATGTATGCAGAGCACTGAAATGTATAAAAAGCAGAATATAAGAAAATAAAATTTATTAAAATTATTTATATTAAAAAATGAAGTATATGAAGATCTCTCAGTAATAAAAGTACAAAAAGCTACTCTTTGCAATATGAAAAATTGAGGTATTGCATAAAGAGATATCCCGTCAGTGAAAAGTGTGCCTAAAAATGCTCACTGCTGGAAAAACAAGATATACAAAAGTAGTGCATGACAAATACACATTATGTGCATGACGAAATAAGTCAGCTACAAAACACTGTACCGAAATTCAGCAGGTCATGTACAAAGGGGAAAATCATTATTCAAAGCTAGTTCTCGAGCAGCGTTATTTCTCGTTAGCTCGTCACACCTGTTTACTGAGTAGGAACAGCACAAGAGCACACCCCAAGCCACCTACAAGCGTCTGAAAGAAGAAAGAGGCGAATGAACATTCCACGTGGAATCATGTAGTTCAGGAGAAAAGAAAGAAAGTCCCTGACCAGCCACACAAGAGCACCCTCCCTCCGCATGACCGCTTTCAACATTTGCAGGGAATTCTCGGAAAGCAGCTCCCGCTCTAGGCTGCACTGTCAGACAGCAAATGTCTCCATTTTGACCTTTGGAACTTCACAGGTATACAGTTCATTAAAGCCCGTATTAAAAATAAAGGACTGCTTTTCCTCAAGATAACCAGTAGGGGGCGTCAGCCAGGTGGTTCCACCACAGCGCTGGGGCAAGTCTTTGGTTTTGAAGGATCCGAGATGGTACTGTCAGGTAGCACGACTAGCAAGATTGCCGTTAGATCTACTTAAACAATGTTTTGCACACCGATAATAATCCTCGTAATGGTGGATCGGGCATTTAATAAGATAAAGTCAATTAAAATAAAAGTTACTTCCATGACCAGGGCTTCAAGAGACTATTTTAAATTTACCCCTGAAGCATACTGTTCAACACATAATAACGCCTTTCAAAGCTAGATTTTATTTATAATAAAGCATGCATTACTGGATGAAGTTGGCACTTCAAACACTGACTATGTCCCATGCTAAGTTCTGAAACTGCAATGTTATTTTATTTTATAGGAAGAGTAAGATAAACATACGTATCTTTGCACAGATCTACACAGTTACTTAGTTCAACAGTGCAAAACACTTTGCAACTACTTAACTTTTTTAAAACTTTTTCCCCATTTTCTATGTTACAACTAAATTACAGGATACCCAAAGTAACTTTAAGTCTAAAAGGAAGCCAATCAGCAGCCCATCAGCAGCCAATTTGTAGATTGATTTTGTCTTCCAGTTTTGGCTACAAGCGCTCTGTACAACGCAGCCAGAAGCGACACCCTGGCGGTGTCTCTAGATCCACTGTGTTTGTTTTCTTGACGTCAAAATGGAGAGCAAAGGCTGACACCCGATGAGCGTTAGAAAATTAGGATATAGAGTTTATACAGAACATCAAAAATAAAATTTATACATTAGATCTTCAGGAGAGGAAATGCTAGTTTTCCCACCAGTTGTCGTTAACTCTAGCTTTGGTAGGTTTCCTGGGGCTGTGACCAGATAACTAAGTTTAAAAATAAATAGGTGCACTCCCCTCAGTAGTAAATTTCCCCCATTTTTACATTCTAAATTGTACAACTTGTTTAAAAGAAAATACACCTAGCTCTGCCAACGCGACTCCTCCGTTTCTGATGTGGAAGTAACTCTGAGGCGGCACGAAAGGACGTCCGGCCTCTGAACCCTCCGAGTTAGTGATAATGCTGCTTCGTCTTGCTCAGGCCATTGCGTTTGCCTTCACGGACTCTGTCCTGTTAGTGATCGTCAACTTCCTCCACTGCTGTTAAAAGAATACAAAGGGGATGGAAACAGAGGCAACCAAGGTGAAAGGAACGAAAGAAAAAGGCAGAAGCGTCTCCCTGGGGACAAACTGTGTCAGGATAGACGGATAGTGTTATTGTTGCATGGTTATTTTAATAAAAGTATTCTTATATATTATTAACAATAATTTAATTAAAAACCCAAAATACTCTATTGTTTCATTTCTCTCTTCATATTTCTCTCTCTCCTCTACGAAAATGCCGCAGGAAGTTTGGATCCCCTTGCTCTCCAGCAAAACAAGGGGATGAAACTTCCCGGCCACACGGTGGCGACGCGAGCCGGGAGCTCGCCCGCACCGTTGTCGGTGACGCAGAGTCTGCAGACCCCTCCGGCGTAGGCCGTTCTCTCCGCCACGCGACTGGGCGACTGGCGAGTTCCAGACGCTACACAGGGCAGGCCGGCGCGAAGGGGCTGAGCAAGGGGCCAAGTGGACAGAAGAGCGCGCTCATCCCGCGGCCTGAAAGTGAGCGCTGCGGCGGCCCTCCTTCAGTTCCAGCGGAATGAAATGTGCCGAGGGCGGTCGCCGCCCTCCTTCACCAGCGGCTTGTGGAACTCCCTGCCGGCGCGCGAGTGGATGGCGGCCCAGCAGTACTCGCAGTAGTACTGCAGACAGGTGACGTTGGCGCAGAAGAAGGGCGCGAACTTGCCCCCGCAGCGCGCGCCCTGGCACTCGTCGCACAGCTGGTCGTCCAACACGTATGGCTTGACTTCCACCTGCAGCCGAGGACAAAAGACGGGGTTACGCTCCGCAGCGCCTGGCGGGCAACGCGCCCCCCCCCCAGTGTGGGGGCGTGCCCACCGCTGTCCGAGTGGGCCTGCGCGGGGGGCCCAGAAGGAAGGGCCGGTAATTCTCTTACCCAGCTGTCTTTTAAGAACCGGGCCAGGTTCTCATACCCGTCGCTTTACATTTTTGTCTTATTAAATAAACAGTTTTCAAAGGAGCAAGGGATTCCACCAGAAATAAAGTGACGGCAACGGAACCCCGCGAAGTGAACCCCCGGGGAGTTTCCCAGCACACGCCAGCAGTCTAACTCGCGCCTCCGGATGTGCCCCGCGTGTGGCACTGCAGCTCACACGACACCGACTCGGAGCCTCCCGGCCCGACACGGCCCTCGGTGCTGGGGTCGGAGGGCGGCGCCTGCCCTCGGCGGCCGGGTTCTGCGCCGGCGCCCCGAGGCCGAGGCCGGGCTTCCCTCTACAGCGCCCCACCCTGTGTGGTCATCACCGCGCCGGCACTCCGGGAACACAAGGGGCAGCCACGGGCCCCGCAGTCCGCAACCCTGCGCTCCTCCGTGTCCGTCAGAAGGGGTTACTTGAGTCCAAGAGTCAAAGGTGCATTTATAAAGCTGGGCCTGTTCCAGCGTTCAACCGGCCGACCTGTCATTTGAGCCTCTCGAGTATTAAAAATAACCTGGCTATTAACTCGCCAGGGAGAATAGAGTCGGTTGTTTTTAGTCTCGGAGAGACTCATGGTTGAAACTCCCTCATACCAGACTGTCACCACCACTGGTGCCGCCCAGTTCCGACAGGGAAGCCCGACAAAGGGCAGCTGTGCCCGGGCAGGAGCACGACTCGGGAGACAGAGGAGCAGGCGCAGCCAGCGCCTCATCGGGCGCCCAGCCCCGAGGCCGCCCCAGAACACCGGCAGCGCGGCGAGCACACGGTGGAAGGATGTGACCGTAGAGGACTACACACTAAGCCTGAGTCTCTGATGACTGACCTCACGACGTTGAAACCCAGGTCGGAATGAAGCAGTCAGGTCCGGGGGACCGTTCACTCAGAGGCACGTCTTTCCTGGTGTGAGCTTTAGCTCACACTAAACACGGGCAGGCGTGTTTAGATCCACGGTGGCCGACGTGGCCGCCTTCCTCCATGTTCACAATAGAACTGACACCTTCCCTTTGACCTAGTCACAGGATAGCATGGTGCCGACCACGATCTTACATTTAGCACCGCTGCTGATACAGAATGTACATGAAACGAAACGTCGGCATCACGCGTGAAGCACTACTGACTTGGCGGTTTCTACGTGACTTGAGAGCAGCACAGTGCACTCAACCAGTCCTTTTTTGGCACGATGCCCCAGAGCACTGGGTATCTAACTCGGTCCTAATGAAGGCGCCTGTCTACCATGAAACAGAGCCGACACCAGAATGGAAATCAACACACTGCTTCCTTCGTGTCAATAAGGTCTTTCTATGAAAAATCAGTCAGCTGAACTAAACACTGTGTTTCCTCGTGTGTCTGATGTACATCCTGGTGTCACTTCCAATCTCACCACAACAAGGACCAAACTGTCTTGCCTACTGGCAGTGGGTTCAGAGATCATGCTCTATTGACCAGACCACGGACTCAGGAGGACAAGGCCTTCCCGTCTACCAGACCATAGACTCAGTAGGACAAGGCCTTCTGGTCTACCAAACTATAGACTCAGTAGGACAGGGTCTTCTGGTCTACCAGACTATAGACTCAGGAGGACAAGGCCTTCTGGTCTACCAGACCACAGACTCAGTAGGACAAGGCCTTCTGGTCTACCAGGCTATAGACTCAGGAGGACAAAGCCTTCTTGTCTACCAGACCACCGACTCAAGACAGTAACTTCTGGTCCCAGGCACAAAAACACTTGTCGAATGCATGGAATACAAAGAGAAGAAGTCAATCTGTGAGTGCAATAAAATAAGATACCTAATGGAATGCAGTGTTTCAAAGACAACACATTAGAAAACAGAGGAAAGAGCTATCTTTGAGGTTTTCTCCAGCCTTTTGACTCAGAAGACAAACCGAACAAAGAGGAATCTGAGGTGCTGAAAATAGTGTTAACTGTTACTACCAAATTTCAGGCTATAAATCAAAGTTTATGACTTTTACTTAATTTGCTATAATGAAATGTCTCTAAGCCATGCAGTTCTAGGAGTCAATTTGCTCATCATTTGGTACATGGTGCGCTAGAAAATCGGGCTTGCTGGGGTATTCATAACGTCCCAGGACAAAACACAGGACAAGTCAGGAGACCTCAGGGCGTTGGTGTTTGCATGCCTGATATAACATAGCAGAGAGAACGTGGTAAATACTGAATGATCGACTAACTGAACAGATGAATGGATGCAGGTGATAGCTTAGGAAAAATTAAATCAACTCAAGTAAACTGACATAGCGTCCTGGTTAGGCTACTCAAAAACTAGGAGATAGATAGAAGAAATCCATAGGAAATTCCTAGATATATTACAGAACATACATCTGATTGGTCCTGCAGGCATAACTATCCGCTGTCGGTTTATTTTCATATAAAACCCCCTGATTCCAACCTCGGTAATGAAACAGTTGGAGGGCCAGTTCTCGAACTTTCCGGAACGCCGTCTAGCACTTACCCGTTTATCTATCTCTCCGTGCTGCAGCTGGACGAAGCGGGCGCTGATAGCAGCTATGTAGCTCTGCTGGTTGGAGAACGCGACCCGCCCGGCCCCCTTCGGGTACTTCAGCTCGGGGTCGGTGTCAATCCCAGCGTAGCACACGCCTCCGTACAGCCGGTCCATTATCATGGCAAGTTCCACTACACAAGACAGACGCAGAGAGGGCACCTGAGATCAGGAAAACTCACCTGGCCTGCCAAAGGTTTCATCAAAAGCAGTTCACCTCTACCCTGAGCCCATGTCATTACAACAATTAAAATCAACCATTATTACAGCCAGGTGTCCATTTATCTAGTTATGAATTTATTATATCCTCACCCAAGGACATTTTTTCATGGCTTTGAGAGAGAGATGTCCATTTATCTTTTAACTAAGGGCAGGTGTTTTACTTATATTGTCTTCTAATCTTCAGAGGAACCCTATGAAAGGGGCACAGAGAGGATGATCGATCCACCCAAGGTCAAGGTCACGGATGGCTGAGCGGTCGTGCTGGCCTTGGCACCCTGGTCTATCTGCTCCACACCCTGTCGCTGCCATGGACTTCCCAGTTAACAAGGCATGGCTTAATATAAAAAATCATTTGAACACTAGAAAACATCAGTAGGCTCTTTCAAGGTCCTTCTAGTTTATCTCCATCAAAATCTTGTTACCTTTCCCTGCAGTCCAGCTATTTGCCAATTTTTTGTATAAAAACTTGCAATAATGGATGTGTCATCTTTGCCATTATATGTCACAATTCTGAAACTGCACTCTTGTTCATTTTATGTTCTTTATCTTCCTTATACGATTAAATCTCAGATTAGTTGGTTGGGGATGAAATTTCTTTTGTAAGTGCTATGATGCACTGCTGAGAACCCTATCGTATTTCAGAGCTCAGCCAGTAGCTGATGAGCAAATGAGGACACGGAAACAAACACCAAACATCTCCATCCACAATCTAGCCTTGAAAGGTGCTATTTTTTTTCAGGTGACAGTCACGATCGCAGGCATTATGAGAAACTGCACTAAGCACTTTGCACTGGTTATCATATTTAACCCTCAAAACAGTGCCATAGAAAGAGATGCACTTATTGTTACTCCATGTGACAGATGAGGAAATTGAGAATAAGAGAAATTAAGTAATTTGTCCAAAGTCATTCAAGTATTACCAGAGAGTGGGGCACACGAATTCAAAGCCAGACACTGATTCTGGAACTCTCACTCTTAGACATTAACGCAAATGCTTACAGAGAACTTATCTGAAAAAAAACTTATGAAATATTTCTTATCCTGAAGGATAAAGAGGGTTTGTTTGGTTGATCATACCAGCTCGCAGCGGTCGAGGAACGCCGCCGACAAATATAGTTTTCCGTGGGTCGAGGGGCTGCGAGCCGTCCATCACGAAGTCGCTGTCGCTGAGGTTCCAAGGCCGGATCTGCACCTGGGGGTGTGCAAACCCACATGTGTCACCCCCAGCACAAGCTGTGGGGAAGGGGCTCAACACGGCTGCAGAGTACTTCAAAAGCAGTCATTCGCATCACTGCAAAGCAATAAAGCTATAAAACTGGAAAAGACTTTAAAAGAGTATATACTAATCATTTCATTTTTAAGAGTACAATAAACAAAGGCGGAAATTTCATTGCCTATAATAAGCTAAATCTATTAATAGGAAATCCAGCTACTTCATCAGATGTATTACTAAGTGAAATCTTTTAATGGTAAAAATTTACCAATATTTTAGTTAACCAAAAATTTAATGTCAAAATAATGCACACAAATATACAGAATGTCAATGCTGGGAGCCTGACAACAATAACAAAACCTCACTTGCAGCCCACTTACAGACACGTCATGGAACAGGAACACCGTGATGCCTGTGGGTTTTTGGACAGAGTAGAGACGGAGGCCAAAGCTGGAAGCTACTCTCACGCTAGGACGCACTTACTGGCTTGTCTTTGATGGTGGGGCTGGAGACACACAGGTAGAGTTTTCCGTCTTCTTCGATGCAAGCATCAATGAGGGCCTGGACAGAGCTTTCGTCTTGAAAGAGCAGGAATGCATAGCCTGATAAAAAGGGGCAAAGGGTTATGTTTTCCTAAATTAGTATTATTTTTTGGTAATTCTTCAAGAGAAAGGAAACAAACTAAAACAAAGGAAAAGGAGTTAATATTTTTTAAAAAATCGAAACAACATTCCTACCTAAAGTCTGATAATATCCACATTAAGTTCAGTCTAATATCTTGAAACATCTTCTAGAGTGAAATCAACTTTGAATTGGAAGTATATACTAGGTAGAAAGTTTAAAGATGCATTTGGGGGAAACAGAAGTCTAACAACGGAAAATTCTACATCGAATGCAAACGTTTCTGGACACGCTAGCCGTCCAGCGCTGCAAGGACAAGCTGCCGGTGTGCACTGAACCCCGGGGGTTACCTTTGGGGGGGAAGTAGGACTTGCTCTCCGCCTTGTGCGGCCAGTCCACAATCAGCGGGCCAAAGCGACGAAAACTGGCTGTGATCTCGTCTAGGGAGCAACAGAGCAAAGAGCAGTGTTCAGTGATTTTGTGACCATTTGGGGGGAAGCAGTTAGAAAAACAACAGTTTCAAAGCTCCTGTGTACGAGAACGGCATGAAGGCGGCCCGCACCCCTTCCCCTAGCCTCCCCGGCTGTCACTCTCGTGCGCATCTGCCGCTTCCCGTCCCCCTTCTCTCTGGACCTCCGCACGGCTCAGCTGCCCACCTCTCTCCCTGCCGCCCACCTCTCTCCCTGCCGTCTGTCGTCGTCTTCCGACACAGCGCTCTCTCACCCATAATGCAACTGTTGTCACCTGCTCAAAACAAGGTCACATCCTTGTCTACTACCCTGTGACCGCCCACCCATGTCAGGAAGTCAGTGCTGATGCAATGCCCAGTTCGCAGACTTGAGCCAGATTTCAGACTTTCCCAGCAGCGTCTCTCTGTTCCTTTCTGACCCAGAACATGAGCCGTATCTAGATGCCACGTCCCTAGGACACCCGTATTCTTCGCTTTGGAACAGCTCCTCGTTCTTTCCTGCCTGTTACATGCTTCACAACTTTTTTTCTTTTAAAAAAGACTTCATTTATTTATTTATTTTTAGAGAGAGGGGCAGGGAGGGAAACAGAGAAAGACAGAAACATCAATGTGCGGTTGCCTCTCATGCGCCCCCAACTGGGGACCTGGCCCACAACCCAGGCGTGTGCCCTGCCTGGGGACTGAACCAGCGACTCTTTGGTTCACAGGCTGGCACTCAGTCTACTGAGCCACACCAGCCAGGCCTGCATGCTTCACAGCCTTCAAGTACCAAGGCCCCTGAATCTGCAAAATGACTCGCAACCTCACCTACCTCTCTGCTCACGACCCAAGTTCCAGCTGCGGGTTCTGAATAAGATTCCCGCCACAGTCATGCCATGTCACCCTGTCCTCATGGGGCATGTCAGCCTCGATCACCTGGCTGAGCTGGAATCTGCCCACTCGGTGTGGTGCTACCCACCAGTATCGCGTTCCCTCATCAGCCTGGGCGTGCTCCAGGCTCCCGCCTCTACCCGCTACCACAGTGTCATGTCAGTCCACACCTTTCTGGAACGGTCACTGAATCTGGTCAAGGCGGCACACTCAGACTACAATGCAGTTAGCACTCAGGTTTGTCCACACCGGGTCCTTGAGGCGCTTTCCTACCGCAATGGTGTTCACTCTTCCTCACTGAGCCCACCCACTTGTCTCAGCTGGCTCCCAGGGCCGCCCTCTCTCCCTCCACGACCCCGTCTCCCAGGCCGTGATAAGAAGATATGAAAGAGAACTGTGCAGTCAAAACTGAATCCCTGGAGCCAGACAAGGCCGCTGTTATCCTAACAGTGACCTGTGGCCGTGAGTTGCCTACTGTGTGCCGCCTCTGGGCACCATGCTCTTGACGCCCTTCCCCACGTACCTTCATCGATGTCCGGAGGCAGTCCGCCCACGAACACCTTGCGAGAATATCGCTCTACTCTCTCTCCGTTCTGGTGAGTGAAGCAGTGAGGTGAGCCCAGGCCACTGTGAAGAGGTTGATCCCCACGGCCGTCATCCAAGAATCCATCTTCCATCGGAAACAGCGAAGACTGACCTGGAACAGAGAGCAGGAGAGAAAGCTAACAGCAATGTCCCCGGCCCCTGGGCACAGCAAACAAGGACAGCAGCTGATTCAACAGACCTGCGGCTTTTCTTTTTCTCACTGAATAACAAATGGAATCACTTAGATAAGCTTTTGAATTCGAATCACCTTCAAGTCCCAACTGAGTCAGAGAGAAAGTTCACGGTTCAATAGAGGGCCACCCCCCTCTCCCCCTGGGACCGGGCAGCTCAGCGGGGGGTGGAAGCGCAGCAGCAGGACAGCGCGCTCCTTTGAGAGCGGCTGGCAGCTGAGGCCCTGGCTTGGCAGGGCCCCCGGCCCCTGGCATCCTAGACGTGTGCACTGAGTATTAGATGTGACTGTCAGCTCTGGATCACTAAGACGTTCTTAAAACATCAGGTGACAGAGCCCACACAATTTCCTCCAAAAATGTCCTTAAAGTGAACGTGTCCGTTTTTAAATTGGGTGCTGTTTTCGTTTATCTTAACTAATGGGCTACAACCGAAAGCCACTGAATGCCGCTAACCTCACTGTCTAGTCTTCTAGAATTTAAGATGTTTAGGCATGCTAAAGACACCCTTTTTTTCCATTGAGTAATAACCAGCTGCTACAGCGCTACCTAATTCTAAAAGCTAACCACTAAGTCTGATGTTTGAAAATATCCAGAATGTGTAAGTAGAAAAGACCAGAGATGCCAATGTAAGTTATATTCTTCCCGTATTGACCAGACAGCAGAATTCAAGCTTTTAAATCAGACACCAAACACTGCAGACTCTCAAGCACTGGTCACTTTTCAGGCGGCCGACTTGCGTCTGGGCAGCGCACAGACCCCACGGCAGCGGGCCCGCACTGCGCCGCCTCCACCGCAACGTCCCAGCATCCTCTTGGTGCCGCGCTCCTCCTCCTTCCACCTCTCACTACCCAACACAAGTAATAAGGGTATGGACACCTGCTGTGAATTCATCACACAAAACCACAGCCCAAAAGAGTTAATAATGAAGATTTTAAAGTGACTATAAAACTAGAGGCTATTTCCTGAATGACTTTCAAAGATCACTTATATTTCTATGCTGAGCCATTTAAAATGGTCTCACATACTTTAAAAGGCAAACTATTACAGATGTCAAAAATAAGGTTCATTCAGGCACCTCTGAGACATGATTTTTTTTTAATTCTCTAAATTTCTAGAGCTTTCCCCCAATGTCTGCAATTTAGAGGATCAGCCATTTATTCAGCTCGTCTCATTTTAAACCGAATGTATTATGCTGACTTGGTTAAAAAAAACAGGCATTCACATATAATTGAAACTCTAGCGCAATCAGGTATTTTGAGATGATCTGGACTATATTTTCCTTTTTAAAGAATCTTAATTTTTTTCTCCTAAGAAATTTCTTTCAGAAAAAAGGAAACAAATCTTTAGATATAAATAAGTTGAGCTTACAATATAATATAGGAAATTGATGTTGGTTCAAATCCAAATCCTACCATTCTGACTTCCTAAAATTAGAATGTCTAGAATGTTAACTACAATATGTCAAGTACATATGAATCAAACTTATGCTTCATTCCCCCACCCAGCCCCTCCTTCCCCACGAGGGTTACGAACTGAGCAAACTTGGGTCCTCTCCAAATACAACTACACATTCAAAAGTTAGAAACAATAATGTTACCTCTCCTTCGCCCATATGTCCTTGCTGCATGTCAAATGAGAAAAACAAAACAACCTTTCAAACATTGTCAAAAGAATCAATTGTGATTTCATCTACCAGCTTTTGAAATTGAAAAAATTTCGCCATATATAATTTGTGTCAAAAACAAAGAATTTGGATAGTAAGAGGTCAATTTACTGCTTTCTTTTTTTAAGTTCTTTAAGGACATTTGTTTTAAAGGAAGCCTTTTGCTGTGACTCAAGGTCCACACCAGCATAAAGTAAAGGACGATTGTCATGTGACCTAAACCAACGACCACATTAACCTTATTTTCTCTCAGAATCCCCTCCTAGCGAGCTGTCAAGTAAATACCACAATATTCAGTTCTTGGCTTTTTCACTCTTACAGGATAAACAGCCATTTTATACTACCTCTCAATTAGTCCCTAGTAAAGAATAGCATAAAAGAAATCGTTAGGCAATTTGCAAACTTCCTTTTGGCCAACGTTTCTTAGCCCCAATCAAATCCTCCACTATGCCCCAAATGTTGAAAAGTAAAAGCCCTGGTGTTTTACCACCAAGCAGGTTGCAGCCAAGAAGAGAGATATATAAGTATATTTATATAATTATATATATTTCCCTGAATACTTGGGAAATGACAGCATAAACTTGAAATGAGGAAACACCTTCCCTGAAACAAACTGTCACTTATTTTTCAGCCCAGCCTGCCTGAACGCCTTGACCCCATACCCAACACGCACTTCCTGGATGCGCACCTTGCCAGGTGCTGCGGGCAGCTAAGCACCGTGCCCTGACTGACTGCGCGGCCACAGAAGCAAATGATGGTGACGCAGCACGCCTCTCTGCTGCGACAGTTGTGTGACAGGCACAAAGGGACAGAGCAGGAGGGGCCTGGTTTTGATTAAAGGGTCGGGCGGGGGGTGGCGCTTGAGATGGACCTTGAAAGGAAAACAGAGGCAGGGCATCGCAGGGCCGGCGCTGCTGCAGACCGGCGCCGTCAGGGCCAGGGCAAGGCGACCGGACAGGAGCACGGGGAATCGTGGGTCTGGGCCGGGGGGCAGGGTCACAGGGGCACGGGGACTGCACAGCTCTGTGGTGGCCGAGTCACAGGTGCGACGCCGAGGTGCCGTGAGCGCACTTTCCAGTAGTGAAATCATGTCTTACACCCAAACACATTTCTACCAGCGCTAGATAGCATGGGATTTCACCAAAAATCGCACGTTAGGAAATGGATTCAAACAAGATGAAATCTCCCTCGGCCGTTAGGTTTCCCTTCCCTAGGTCTTAAGTTTTCAAAAAGGGAAAGGTATTCTTTTCCAGTTAATCTGACAGACACTAGAACGACAAAGACTCCACAAAAGCAGATGGTTGTTGAAAACCTTCTATCCATATAACTAAGTGCTCCAAGACATAAGATTTGAGGGGGTGAATGACCGAAAATCCTGGTTCTGTCAACCTTAAAGAGTTGACTGGTGTTGCCTAGATTTCTAAGAAAACATGTTCAAAAAGAGTGGGCTTTTATAAGCTACAAAATTAACATAAAAACCTCATAGCTTTCATTATTTCAAAAATAAATATAGTTTCAGGAATAAAGGCTACAGATCAAAAGTGAATTCTGATACTCTCAAAGTCTTCAAATGTGTACTTTCAAACTCTGATTTTACATCACAAAATTAAGCTGGTTAATATAAAACATTCATGGGTAAATTCTGACATTAAATCCTGAAAATTATTGAGAAACATTTTCCCATATTAAGGGAATACAATGTTTATAATTATAAGAACTGCCCACTCAAATAGGGAAATTAATATAAATGAGTACCAGAGAAAAATAACGACACCCGAAAGCACAGCAAATGTTTGATTTTCAGTTATAATGCTGTTAACACTACACGTGGTTTTCCACATAGATTTTAACATATGACACATACACGGGAAAGTACCCAATTCCGTAATGTGCACACACGTGTGTGACCAGAACCCAGACTTGGTCGGAACGGTCGGCGGTGCCACTGCACCTGTGGAGGGAGGACACACTGAGCCCCCCCGCCCGCCCGTCCCCCGCTCCGCTCGGCACAGACACGGGACGATGGAATTTCTGTGACACGCGTCCTCACCCCTTTCCTGAAGAATCTGTCTCGTCAGACAGATTTCCAGTCTCGTGATTACCGAGTGTTGCATACTTTTGATGTTTCTCAAGCATGCAGAAAAGTAGCAAGAAAAAAAAATGTAGGTTCAATATGTTTAAAGAAATGTGCATTTGGAAAACTTCTAGCTAAGTCAGCTGACATAAACTGCTCAGAATTTGCTTTTAATTACCAGAGCACCCTGTTAGAAGATTTCAAAAATGAATGTTATTATTGAATAAAAATATTCTAGTCCCCATCAGGGTTAAAATTAATACGATTTACATGCTTATTTACTTTTATTTTTATTCCTCAGTTTTGTTTTATAAAGTCCTTAATAATTTAATGCTCAGTACTAACATGATCCCAGAGTGTTCTAAATGGGCTGGAAAATTATGGCTGTAAGTTTTTATAACTTCTGGATGCATGTTGTTATTAGATCTATTGATAAATACTTTATTTCCAAAACGTCTTTACAGGACTGCTTACAAATGTCCTCCGGTCATCACTAAGCTCCCTCTCCTGAGTGTCCCGCTGCACTCTGGGAGGCTGCGCTTACCAAGAAGGTACAGAAGGACTGGGTCTTTTTTCAACACACTGCACATGTATTTCATTACGCACAAACATACAGTATATAAATATACACTATACACTTCATTATCAAAATGAAGAGATCTCTTAAAAAGTATTTTTTCTCATTTGTTATAGTCCAAAAGAAACAAAGCATCCGCCATAGTGATACACTTATAAGAAATACTTAGTATGTAGACATTGAAAAAACATGGCACACATTCATGTGAGGTGCCTAGGTATGTATTGTATGATTCATATTTTGTAAATTTGAAAATAAAGAAAATATAAACAGATGTGGGAAATATGCAAAAATCTTTTTTTTCTAGAAGCAACCACAAGAATCTTGGGGAGAGAAACTGGGATGGGGAAAGAAAGAAGGATTTTACTTGTTTTATCTCTTTGTGCACTATTTGAATTTATTATTATTGTGTACACTGTATTACTATATTTCATAATGAACCCTTTTTGGCTTTCTACTTGGTGCTTTATCAGAAACAAATGACAGATTTGAGGAAGGTGTCCTTCCCTACACAAGGGCATCTAATCAATTCCGTGGAGGGCCGGACCTCAGGCCACAAGGGGTAAAACCGTCCTCGGGGTCAGCAGGCAGGAAAGGCCGACCCCGTTCAGGCCACGCCCCTGCCTGTCCCTCTGCTGTCCCCGTGCGGAGGGGGCAGCCGGCAAAGCTGTTTGGAAAACAAGGGCAAGGGCTCAGGCGAAAAGATGCCATCAAATGACTGATCTTTTCAGTAGGACTAAAAAAAAAACAGTGTGTGGGAAATTAGTCAAATTAGCAAATCAGTTAAAAAGACATAAATGCAAGGCTGGAAGCGAGGAGAAGTTACTATGTTAATGGAAGAATGAAGATGGTAGAACCAAAACGCAGACAATCAGCACGAAGACCAGGGTGTTGATTCAACAAAGATGCAAAGAATCATTTTAAATAATTTTACACATCAACTCCTAATTTAATGGACTCATTGCCACAACATTATTTTAGATTTATGCTTCATAGCTCGAATTTCCTGTCACATTGACTTGCATTTATACTAGCTTGCTGGTACGATAGTCACAGAATCTTGACAAGACATAGTAAAGATGTGAGACGACTATTTGTGAAAAGCTATCTCAGAGGACAGAGAACGTAACTCTGGGGTTGCATATCCCTACCCTGTTGTCACTCATACAAACGGGGAGCTGACGAGAGAGGGGACAATACCGGACTCATACACGGCGGTTGGTGAGACGCTCAGTAAACTGGAATGTTCTCCCATCCTCAGAAGTACACACACACACACACACACACACACACACACTCATTCTGGGGCTGGTCTTCAATAATTACCCTTAGCTTGTCATTACTACTGGAAGGCTAACAGCTGTAAAGCACCGTTAGAATTTACAATATGTTTTCATATTATCTTTTTCACTCCTTATTGTAGCAACTAGAACCATATTATATATATTTTCAGTGACTACAATCTGCACTCACTTTTCAGAGACTTCTCCCCTCCACCCCAACCCTTCAGAGAACAACCTTCCTCCTTCCGCTCCACAGAACCGTAAGGAGGAGCCGGGGCGCTGCACGCTAACCTTCCAAGGATGTCTTACCAGCCTCTGCTGAGACACGCGAACATCACAGCTGACGCTGCGAAGTGAAAGACACCCACAGAGGAAACACAGACGTGAGCCTGTTAAAGCCCAATACATTCCCTTGTTCTTCTGTGACTTTCTCTGCCACAAGGTTCTTTTTATTTTTATTTTTTTTCAAGGTTCCTCTTCAAGGCACAGATTCCCAAGGGCCGAAGCGCAGCACGGGGTTTGGAGAGAAAGGCCCATGCACAAGCACCCTCGCAGAGGGGCTGCCTGCTCGGTTTCCTAGGCAAAACAAGGCTTCAAGCTGGGAAAAGGAGAAATTAATATTTTAATCTATCTCCTTTCTGACTTAGCTAAAAAACTGGCTTGCTTTTGTAACCATAAGATGGGTGTTCTAACCATATTCCTATTACATCCACCTCAGGAAACCCTCTTCTGTTACGTGGGAAAAGGCATGTGTTATGGAATAAATCTGTCCCCTCCTGGAAATCCCTGTGCTGAAGCCCCAAGCCCCGCCCCCCAGAATGCGACTCTCTTTGGAGGGAGGGTCTTCACAAGGCGACTCGGGCTGACCCAGTGTGACCGGGGTCTTCATAAGAAGAGCCTAGGACACAGGCATGCACAGGGGAAAATCACGTGAACACACGGAGAACACGGTCACCTACGCGCCAAGGAAAGAGGCCTCAGAAGAAACCAACTCCGACTCCCAGGCTCCCGGGCTGAAAATAAACTGTGTAGGCCACCCCGTCTGTGGCCTTGTCATGGCGGCACTAGCAAACCAACACTATGTCCCAAAAGGAGCTAGACAGCTAGTTTTTAAAAACACACTTTGAATCCAAGGATTCCCCCCTCAAAAAAAGTATCTACGACTAAGAAGCCAGCCCTAAGCGGAATGACTCCCTGGAACCTGCACTGCAGCACTCTCAGCACAGTTGCCAATGGCCATCTGCTGGGTTACACTGGCGAGGCTTCTTTTTAGAGGCGTGAGTGGTCCGCAAAGGTCACCGTACGGAGTGAAGGCTGTTGACCAAGGATGGAGAAAGGCCCAGCAGCAGCAACTGGAGCTATAGGACGGGCGAGCCCGTCTTATCTCTGTGGAGGCACATCCGACATCATCCCAGGATACACTGCCAAGGTTGGGAGACCGCTCTGAATCTCTTCTCTTTTGAGATTGCTCGAAAATTTCAAAATAAGTTCTACAATAATGATCATAGTTGAAATTCAAACGTTCATGCAAGGAAGAGGATAAACAGCTCTTCGACCATTTTATCCCAACAAAACAAGAAATGACTTCCAACTCAAAAGAGGCTGGGAAGAAAAAGCTCTGGACGTCACAGTTCAAACAGAGCAGAGCAGCTACACACAACCCCCTTCTGAAGGCTTCTGAAGCCCGGACAGAATACTGATGGTGGACAGAGGGCTCCTTGTAGTTCCGTAAGGTCTTAAAATTGAGCAATGAATATAAAGCAACACTAGATGTTAGACCTTTATTTTCAGTTCTAAACTGAAAATGAACTAAGATGTGAAGGGATATAGTAGGTTTTAGGTTATTTACTTTAATAATAGACCCAAAACAAGCATATTCAGCTATGGACAATCTTTATATATTCTTCTTAATCCGTTGTATTGTGTTTTCTCTTTATAAATCTTTAGCACTAACATTTCCTCCCCCAAAAAAGTGACACCCCATTTTAACTTCACCATGTGCCAGGTGCTATGTAAGTGACTTACATGCATTTACTCTCTGCCCCAGGCCTGTGAGACGGGCAGTGTCTGTGATCGTCCGGTCGGCCTTCCTCGGGCACAACTACTGTATTACCCCAGATCTGCAACACGGACACTCCCAAGCAGGAGCAAAAGGAGGACAGAGCTCCTAAGGATCAATACATGAAAGAGATGGATGTATCTAGAGCAGCGATCCGCCGTGGAAGATAAATGTGACCGAGGAGAAATGTGACCGAGGGCTGTGGCGAGGCCTGAATCAAGATGACGAAGACATTGTCTCAATGCCCCTCCACCCCAACCTGTTATAACCACCCACTTTCTCATCGATCTTCTGTTGTGATCTGCTTTGCCCCCAAAGAACTAGCAGTCTATCAGTCGGCTCCAACACCCGGTCTGCCCTGAGGTTTCCTGCCCCATTATAAAGGGACAGAGTGGCATCTGGGTCTACTTGGTTGGCTCTGAGGAGCTAACACCTGACCAAACCCGACAAAATCCAGTTCTGAAGCCCTCGGCCACGAACACTGGATCCGAGACCACGGCCGTCACGACCTCACACACGCGGAGGCCTTGCGTGAGGAGCCCACACGCATCTCCGACGCCGCTTCGCTCTGTCTTCCTGTCTTTCCGGTTAAGGGCAGTGACCCTCGGCCAGCGGACCGTCGTCACAAACACGGTTTCCGTGAGTGCGGTAAAAAAAACCCTCTCTAGAGCCTATGGACCAGTACAATTTCAAAGCATGAATATTTGGGGGAAAAGTTACCTTTATTTTCTTCTTTGCCAAGTAGGAGTCATTAAAAATGATCTGTTCATAACAGAAAACATTTATGGGGGGAAAAAAAGGAAAGACAATCTCATAATAGATTTTATTAAAAATTAAGCGATTTTAGCTTTAAGGAAAACCCAGCAGAGAATGTTTATTTTTCTCAGCTCAGCACAGACGGGCCAGGGACAACTGGCCTAATTCGGTGCCTTCTCGAGAAAACTGGGACAAAGAAGGACCCGCCCCTCTGCCTGAGACCGCACGGCGGCACCTCGGGCCCCGGCTCGCTGCGGTTCCCGCCACGCAGACCCGCCACCGGGGCCGGTCCGCGGGCAGAGCTCCGGAGGCAGCCCGGGCCTTAGCCCCTCAGCCCGATGCCCCTGTTGCCGCTGGGTTTCCTTTTCAGCCCACACACGGTAACGCTGAAACATTACACTGCGGCCTCACTTCTGGCAGAGCAGCCTGAAAAGGCCCGAGTCTGGTGAGCAAGCAAGGCTTTTGTAAACCGCACAGCCTCCGGGGCGCCTGATGCGCCCGCAGCCGCTCTCGGGGGTCCGGTCTCCTCTCCTCTCCTGGCACGACAGCCCTGCGCCCTGCCGAGCACTGATCCCACACGCTGGCCAGGAAGAGGTCCGGCCAGAAAGATCATCTTTAGTGCCCTGCTCACTATGTATCACAGACAAGGAGTAGAAGCTTTGTTTTGTTTTGTTGGTTTGTTTTGCTTTGTTTTTGGAATAAGGTGAGACTGAAAATGAGTTTTTAGAAATGGAGGCAAAACGAACCCACAAATTTGAAATCCACTCGCTAGTCAATGAGTAGGAAAGACGTGAACGAGACGAAACCTCTGCGGTCCCCCCAGGTACTTTAACCTGCGGCGCTACCAAACAGACACTCTCAGTTCCCTGACCAGTGCTGCGCGGAAACGGGCCCTCCTCCCCTCTGCAGTTCAGTCCGCTTCGGCAGCAGCGCGTCAACACGGAACTGAACGGCACAGGGGCAACGCTTGGGACAGGCCAATAAAACTGCATTTTCCTTGTTCTCATTAGAGAGCAAACAGTCAATGACCTTGTCCTTTGCAGTGTCAACCCCTGTGGTTTTCGGCTGCTTTTCCTGCTTTCAGATCTCTGATTACACTGGAACGTTTCGCCAGCTACGTGGACACGGTTTATGTTGACATTTCAAAGGTCAGTCTACAGAAGCCGAAGTTAGATGAAGCTGTCCTCTCTGTGTCATTACGTAATTCTCACTGTGACCAATTTCAAGACAGAATGGGTTGGCTCTCAAAGTTTAAAAAGTTCTTCCCACAATTTGAATGAAAAATCATTATTCATAAAATTCCTGACAGATGAACAGCAACTTTCAATTGTCACTAAAGAATAAACTGATGCCATTTCTCCACTGGCTGAGCCATAACTGCTGTGTTTGTTCACCTGCACTAACTTGTTTCGGCCGTGAACTTGGCTAGGGTAAATCAATTATCACTTACCATTAATAAGCAGAGAGCTATCGGATCCTGGATAGGAATAGTTTAGACGACCTGAAGGTAAAAGAAGGCCGTTACTAAATTTAGTTTTTTCATGGATGCTTTAAGCGTATTCAATAGCAAAACTGAATTACTTGTTTCAATAGTAAGGTACTTAAAAAGCTGTATTATGGGATAAAACTTTGTTGTGCTAATAAACACAATGAGTCAGAGGACATATATATCGATCGGCATGTTCACAAACATTCAAATAGGGAAAGTTGGAAAGCAGGAAAATAAAATATCCCTCCAATTTAACTAGCTGGTCATTCTAATTTCTCACTCCCTCTCCAAAGTAATATTCTTCGTAGCATTCTGTTCCAATATCAATTCATAATAACAATCTTCACATTTTTGCCCCATAAATGTGAACAATTTTTCAAATGTCTAATTTTTTGTTGCTTTTTAGAAGTAATATTTTTCTATGATTTAGAACAAAAGTGACACACTTACGCCTACAGAAACAGACGTGCTAATGGGTTTAAAATGCACATTTTGGAGAATAAGTACAGCACGTAAATAAAAACATATCATTGCACTTACACATGACAGAAAACATCACAGCACACAGCACAATGCCCAGGGCGCAGCAAGCACTCGAAGAATGCTGGCTGAGTTTCCCCTGAATTTTGAGGTGGTGCAAAAAATCTAGTTCTAACCTGAAACGGGCACCTAAATGACCATCAGAGAAGCATCTGTGAAGGTACTACAATTTTTGGAGGGTGTGCCAACGTCTAAATTGGTAACCACACACGAAGGGAGGGAGACGGCGCTGACAGCGGTTTCCCTCCTAAGGAGTTGCATTTCCGTTTGGGAAGAATCTTACTTGTAAGCTGAGGTACCTGGGCCACAGCTCCTCACTGGATGCTGTTTTGTCATTTCTAGCACAGAATTAGTGCTACAAATTATAGAAATCACCCTGGCAACATTTTTAAGTCTCCACATTCCACACGCCCATTTACGCCCGCCCTCGGAGGAAGGCGGAGGACCCTCAACAAAGCCTTGCTCACCGAAGGAACGGACAGGAGGGCGTGACTGTGGGGTAGCTCCCACAGCCCCGCACTGCGTGAGTCAGGAGCAGTGGGGTGGGGGTGTAAAGTCAGCTCAGAACTACAAACGCTCCACAGGAAACCGCAGTCTCAACTCCAACCCTACAGACCCACAGCAGACCCTCCAAGGCCACACGAAGGTGGGTAAGCAGAGCTCCTCCCGTGCCCTGAGGCTGAGCGGGGCAAGCCTTCGGAAGGTGCCAGAAGACGCTGCCCGGTTCCACCCAGCACGACAGGAGCCGGGGCCGACTTGCGGGCCCCTCAATCCCACACATGGGGACAACTCCAGAGAGGACCTTGAGGGTCCAACTAGCCTTGGGTCGCTCACAATCCCGCTTCTCTGAGACAGCCTCCACAGCCGTGAACTCGAGCCATGAACAGAGAACACTGCTCTCTACTGCCTGCGGCTTCAATTAGTCCATATCCCAAACTGGGAGTCTAACACGAAGCCAAACCTGAACTTAGTAATTTTCCTACAATTTAAAATCAAGTACAAGGATTGTTTTTATTGTTATTATGTTGTTAATTGTTCTATTTAAGCTTTCAGCTTGTTCCTATTAAGGAAATGGAAGTAGGGATGGCGATGAGGAAGGAGGAAATGCAAATTAACTTATTTCAACTTCTTCCTGATAATCGGTTTCGTTATTCAGTGCTCACAGCGACAGCCCAGCACCCAGCTCCACTGCCGTCCCATCTGAACCGCTGGGACGACAAGCCGGCTCCTCTGACCCGCCACAGCGGGCTTTTCAAGGAGCACGGACTTGAGACGCTGGAACGAGAACAGGGCCCTCCACTGTTCAAAATCCGGGAGGGGCGTGCACTGTTCCTGCACCACCCAACTCGGAGCAGCAGCCGGCTTCCCCGCAACAGGACACAGCACACGTCCTCTAGCTGCAAACCCTCCGGGAGCGAACTGACGGAGCCATCGCACACACCACCCTTATTTATCATAAAACATGTTTTAAAAAGCGGATGTGAGCCCATACACAACCAAGTGCATGTCATTACATTAACTGAAGTGAAGAAGAAATGTTTTGCTGTATCTGCAAGAGGATGTTCACACATTCCAGCGGAAGTCACAGGTGGCTGCCGCATACCCACTACCATGACCTCTTCTGGGACCCAGGGAAGGACGCTGACGATGCGAACCTGCAGACAAAGGACCCAACAGGCTGGCCCAGTTTACGAGAGCAAGTTCTCCTTCACCAGGAGCTGCTGTTCTGGGTAACTTTGAAGGAGAAGAGGAGGAAAGTTTCAGCTGCGGGCACCAGAGTGCCCGCCCACCGACTTCTCGGAGTCGCCTCCTCCTGGTGCGCCTCCCGCGGAGCACCACGCCTCCACCCCGGGAGAGGTGACCTTTGATGTTGTTTCTGCTGTCAGACTTCTGAGCACAGCCATTCTGGGCGCCAGCTGACACAATAGGGCACTGAAGGATCATTGGCAAGGCTCAAGCTTTGACTCTGAAAGGTGATACTTGTTTTTCATTTTTGACCTGGTCTTATGAGAGTCTTCTCACGTTGGACTCAATTGGGACGTCTGAGTAGCAAGTACATCTGTGACATTTTGTTAAATATCAGTAATGCTTTCTACTTCAATTTTAAAATATAAACGGTGACATTAATAAGAACACTTTTTTAAAAAACTTTTTTAAAGCTTCCGTAACCTGCTGGCCCTATCCTTCCGTAAATTCTTTCTGTAATGAAAGCATCCAGAGACATCCACTCGTGACATCTCTCATGGACCCCGCACGTCACCTGCCGTCTGGAGCGGTCTTCCGAAAGCTCCGGCCGGAAGCGCCGTGGGGCTCTCGGGTCTCCCACACGCCTTCCCTGCGCTTTCCCGTCCGCCCCGCCCCAGGGGCCTCTCTGCCCCGCGGAGGCCGTCCACGCGGGCATTTCTGCCCTTTCTGCTCCACGGCTGCGCTGTCAACAATCCCCTCCTTCCTCTGCAGGGGACTTCTCAAGTCTTTCTTTGTTTCAGTTTCATCTTTTTCAGGGAGCCATTCCCAAAAGGGAAGCACCCCTTTTAGATTAACTCACCCAGTTTCATTTCTAGCCGCGTTGCACCAGCCATCTCCTTCGGTGATGGTTTCAGCTACTGCCTGACGTTCTTATCTCTCTTACATAAATAACCAAGGGGCGGGAGGGTTTTTTGGTTTTTGGTTTTTGTTTTTTAACTAGTACCTTGAGTCTCCTGTTTGGGCACCAGGAAGCACTCAGTGAGTTCATTCCACTGAACTTAGAACACCAGCATTTCACAAATGAATAAAGTGAAGTAAAACAAAAATAACTGACACATCTAAACCTAATTATAACCCGGTGTTTAGGGTTTTGTTCCACTGGGTTTTTGGTAACTCGTCCTATCTATAAACATAACCCAGGTCTTGGCACGTTTAGAATTTAATTCCTCGAGGGAAAAGGAAGGTACTAGGATTTCCGGCAAGTGAACCCATTTGGTAAAGGAAATTCAATCTTGGAATCCTCTTGGTATTGATTGTGTTACAAACATAAAGAAATATTGCCTCATCAGCAGCCCCGAACTGAAAGGACACGAGAACAGAAAAGTAGCAGTCTCCGGGGGCCAGCAGCGCCGTTTGGAGCCAGAAGCCCGGCCTACATCACGCAGAAGGCACAGACTATATTTGGCGACATGACTCAACCTAGCCAAATATAGGCAACTGATACAGTGCGACTCTGGGGAACCGCACCACCAAATTCTACCGCCTTGAAAAGGCCCACACTCCAACCAGGCACTTCTGTGCTAAGCGTTTGTGAGCTGGGAGAGAGCCAAAATTTACCAACCGGGCTGGCGAAGAATCGCGTGAGGAGGAGGTGCTCCAAGAACAGTGTGTACTACCATGTTCTTTTGAGACTCTAAGTAAAGTAACCTACTCAGTGAGGTAAAAGGAGAAAAAACTACAAGGAAATTCATATATGAGCAGTACATGTAAGTACTACTTTCAAAGTTCGATCAAATAAAAGTTATTTTCTAAAAAGTGAACCAGACATCGTCGCTCCCCATGACTCAGCAGGGGACGGCCCGCTCCAGGCTGCTGCCCTTTCAAGCACACGGGGACCGAGAGTATCAGGTTCTCCGCAGCGCTACTCGGTCTCCGGCGGTGACCTTCTCTCTTTCAGAGTCACGCCAGCACCGCTGGGGACGTGGTGTGGGCCAAGGAGTGACAGCGGGGGACAACTCTACCGGGCTGTCAAAATACGGACAGACAGCCATGCGATCCTGGAAAGTGACAGAGTGACATTCTAAGTTCACTTTTAACTTGATTAAGACACTGTAAGACCTCGGATACTCCAAGCAAAAGGGAGAGGTCTTCAGCAGACATCACTGCAAACTTCCAACAGGGGAAGGATAAGTACGGCCCGTTCCCCAGGGAGATCCAAGACTTGCGCACAGGACACACTCACGTACACACACACACACACACACACACACACACAAAGCGTTTGCGGTTGCTGTCTGACTAGCGGGGCTCCGATACCTTGCTCCCACTCCTTGTTTTCAGTTCACGCTAAGTGTGTAGAAGCATACCGCAGTAAATAATTCTTCAAGGGGAGGCTCCACCTGCCTGCCCAGATGGGTTTTCCCCACCACTTTCAGAGACCCGCAGCAAGGTGGCGCTGTGGAGACCCAGACACACAGCAAGGCTCAAGAAACGTGTACTAAAAGCAGGTTTTGCATACCACTTCATGCCTGTACAAATGCAGAACACACATCGATGTGAACTAACAAACATGTATTTAAACGTGTTCTACACTGAATGATATAAAGATAACTATCTTTAATAATTTATTAAAAATAAGTAATTTATTCTATTGACCTAAAAATAACTCTCCAATATAAATCTGGAATTGTATTCTCCCTCTGGACCCATATGTGATACAACCAACTTCCAGGAAAGACGTCTACATGCAACATCATCAAGACGGGCTGGCCGGGGCTCCCATCAAC